TCATTGTTTCTAGAATGCAATCATAGTCTTCAAGCTGGAATAGCTTTTTAGTTCACCTCATTATTTATTCATTTAATTAATTGTTACTATTTGCCAAACACTGTGATCATGTGTCTGGGCTCCTTCATGAGGAAACTGTGGTCATAAAGTTGGTTAGGAGATAGGGCCAGAAACAACCCCAGACTGTTCTGTATCCAGGACACTTTACCCCACAGCTTGTTAATATCTCCATGTAGTTATATTCAGGTGATGAAATAGGGAACATCTTGTGTACTGCATGGTGGACCTGCATGTAATTCATGTAATAAGATGAACTTACAAACCCTTTGCCAGCCATTTCTTTATTACTCTAAATGCCACAACTTAAGGTTCAGCATCAGGGCTAATAATATAAGGATTAGTCTGGAAATTCTGCAAATAAATATTTTCCTGTCTATTCATACTCTTTGATTCAAATATTTCAATCATGTCCTTTCTCAAATGTTGCCTTTACAGATTAAAATCCTATAAATAGCACTGACCCCTGAGGAACACGATCTTCTTACCCCTATCTTTGAGTATTAATCTAGACAGTTTCCTATTGATATACCCCAAAATAAATACCCCAATCTCATGGTGGCTTTCTTTTTAAAGGATTTGTTTTGGGGGGGGTGGGGGGACATACAGCACATAGTTCAAAACAATGTGAAATTGCATTTCTGGAAGTATCTATACTCTTCCTTTACACAATTAAATCTCCCTACTTGCTAAATATTGCTGGACTTGGTGGTTAAGGAGGTTGAGCACATGTGAGCAAAGGGGAACAGCTGTTCTTGCCAGATGCCTTCTTCACTGCACAGACATAAATACTGCCCAAGGAGCCTCTGCAAGGCAGACTGAGATCTAGTTTGAAGTTGCTGCAAGGAGACCCTTTCTGACATTTTTGCTTGGTAAATTCATTGATATGCACCTTGACCAGAGGATACTGAGCTGAGTGACTAGGACGAGAATTCTGAATGCAAACTACTCAGGTTCAAATCCTGACTCTGCCATCTACCTTACCAGCTTTTTGACACTGGGCAAGTTACTTAATCTCACTGTCTTCAGCCTCCTCATCTGTAAGTAGGGATAATAGTAGTTTCTTCATAGGATCTTTGAGGATGATATGAATTAGATATTATCATTAATAATTCCAGCAACAAATACCTATTAAGCTCCTATTCCATTCCAATTACTGTGAATGAGAGAAATTGTCCCTCACTTCATGGAATTTAGAGTATTTTTTTCACATTAGAAGCCCTGACCCATCTAAGGGTTGGGAAGTCAATGCAGTAAGGTGTGACCAGATTTAGTTTTACATGAATTCGATATGATTTTACAAAATAAGAGTTTTATGAAACTTTCTTTCCCTTGCATATACTTTTATATGAATGTGTGGCCTGTGTCTTGATATAAAATGTATTTCCTATCATGAGTCTAGTAGAGAAGATTAGCAATTAAACAGCAACCTCAATATGCAGTGAGTGTCATGGGCACATGCAAATGTCACCTGACCCAGTAAGGGCAGGTGTAGAGAATCAGGCAAGCTTTCCCTGAGGAAGTAACATTTAAGCTGAGACTTGAAGGATGAGTAAAAATTTACCAAAAGAAGTGGGGTGGAGGAGGAGAAATAGTTCCTTTAAGAGCAGTGAGTAGACCCGGGTGGGTAGGGGAGTAGTTAATGAAGCAAGGGAGAAACTTGTTCAGATTTGCATTTTAGTAAGGCCACTCTGGCTGCATGAAGAGAATGGGCAGGAATCAGTTGGGAAACTATTTAGTAATTTCAGGACACAGCAGCCCATAGGGTGGGGGCAGTGGGTATTTGAGAGGGACCTTGTACTTAGGTAGATTGACAGGACTTGTTGATTGATGGGGAAAGGTGCTGGAGCCAGAGCATGAAGGTGCTTATCCCACACCTCTGATGTCTAATTTACAAAGATTTCAGGAGACAAATCTAAGTCTGAAAGCTCCAAGCCCCTAACTTGAAAAAATGTTCCTGTAAACAGGAAGACAGAATCTTTCAATCACTTTGCAAATCATCTCCCTATCCTGCTGGACATATCTGCAGGCTGTTGCTGGGCCTAGGAGTTGGCAGAGCTTCCTGTTCCAAAGTGGGAGGGTTCCTGGCAGGAGATGGAAGGCTGGAAACAGAAAGGAAACTGGGCTAGCCAGGCACCTTGCGTGAAGAGAAAAGAAGGGAAACCTGGTACTTTCCCATCTGATCCAGAAATATCTGGTCGGAAAATAATTTAAAAGTACAGGTAATTCAAAGATGTTTATATTTGGCTTTGAAATGCCATGCATTTTTGGCAGTAGACTTTCTTTGCCAAACATTTTTCTTAGGCCTTATTTTGCATTCCCTGAACATGGACCATCTGGGCAACAGGGGGATGAGCCCAGAGCTCAGAGGGAGTCTGGGTGGGTGGCTGAGGAGGTCCTAATGTTCAAAACCTGGAATGAAACCACAGCTCTCTCTCATCACCCCAGGTGATGATCACACCCCAGGTGATCAGTACTTATCTGTCTATCTGTGTCCTGCCACAAAGCAGGGAGCTTTTTGTGATCTAAGCCATGCCAGGTCATAGGGTGAACTGAAAAACAGCTATCTAATTCCCAGCACATCAAATGTTTCCTACTCACATCTTCCTACTCACAGGGCCACCTCCACCCGCTGGAGTGGCAGGCAGGGCTCCAGAGCAATCTCAAAATCAAACCATATTTGGAGCACAAGACAGGCTGTTTACAGATGTTACCATAAAAGACAATTTAAATAATCATCAGTACCGTTTTACAAAAGAACTGGCCAGACCAGAAGTCCCCTTTTCCAGTTATTCCTAAGATTGCTGCTTCCAGAGGAGTTGAAAGGTTAGATGATCTTCCCTGGCTCAGGTCTACCTAGGACAGGAGAGTCGTGCCTCACAGAAATCACTTCAAAAAGGGTCTCAGCACCACATTCCACTAGGGCTTAGAAGAATCCTCAGGGTGGCAGCCACTCCCTACTTAGGAATCCCATGCATTCCCCTGTTCTTCCATCTGGACTGTGCCATGCCAGGGAAGTCATTTGGTCCAGGCTAGAATTCACTGGGAATAATTAGCAACAGGCCCAAATCTGGAAGTTCAGAGAAATTGGTTCTCTCCAATTTGTTATAAAATTAAGTAATATTTTTCACAATCACCACAGAGAAAACAGCATTTCCTAGTTTCCCAGTTCTTACAGGTCAGAATGGTTGGTTCACAGGAAATTCTTAGTAGGTGCTCTGTGACGCATCTATGTTTTTCCAAGTGTTGGTATTTTTCATTTCACAGAACCTTCTTCCAAAGGAGATTAGCTGCCAGACTCAGGCAGCCCGTACATTTTTGAAAACGCCAGCATAGGTTTCTTTGACTCAGGTACCTGAAATATCTAAGGAAGCAAAGGCAGCGGATGTGCCAGGGGCACCCTCACTTGACATCTACCTCTTCCCCTCCTTTAAGGTCCCCTTGATTGGAGGTGGCGGAAAGAGTCTCTGGTGGTTTGCCCAACCCCTTAGAACATTCGCCCCCACCCGCTTCCTCCGTCTCCTTGCCAGACAGGAGTCCTTTCTCGCACTTACCCTCCATTCCCCATACACACACCTCGCTGAGGTCATCCTCAGCGTGCAGCCCGGAGGGGAAAGGAAACGTGAGCTAAAGCAACAGGTTCCACCCACAGCCTGAACTTGGAAGGGGATGCGGCGGCGGCAGGGCGGCTGGAGCTGTGCAGTGGAGGGAGAGGAAGCGGCGAGGAGGAAGGTGGAAGGGAAATGATGGTGCATGACCACCGAGCACACGTCACTCGGGCTCCCACATGGGCTTGTGTATATGCGTGTGTGAGGGGAGGGAGGTCCTTCACAGGGTCACTCGGGCATTTCCGCGTGGAATAGGAGGTGCCAGGCTCGTGTTCTGGGGTGCTGGGTGGCCTCGGCGGGGTAACGAGTCACGCAGAGACGGCTTGAGGCACGCCAAGAAAATACGGGTGTCGGCGAAAAAATACACCACTTTCCCCAGCGCGCCGCCCTTGCTAACTGGCTAGATCTGCGCCCCTAACGCCCAGTGCCCCCTTCTTTTGGGCCTACCCTGGGCCCCTCCAACCCCATCCCAGCCTGCCTCCCGCTCCCGCCGCTGCCGCGGAAACCCGGACTGCGGACTGCGCCGCGCCCGGCAGCCTCTGGGCATGCTCGGTGGCGGGACCGGCTCCGCCGCCAGGAGGGCGCGTCCTCCCTCCCCTAGGGCGGTGGCGGCGCCTGCAGCGACTTGCCGCCGCGCCCCGGCCAGGAACACCTTTTAGGGAGGCGGGGGACCACCCTGCCCGGCGCGGGCCGAGGGCGCTCCCCACCCCGAACGTTCCGGTGGGTGGGAGGAGGGGCCGGCCAGAGAGGCGCGGAGGAGGGAGTGAGACCTCCGACTGCCAGCGGTTCCTTAGAAAGTAAAGCTCAGCTCCCGCGCGGACCGGGGCTCCCAGCCGCGGGCGGGAAAGGGGCGGGGAGGGGCGGGGCCAGGCGGGGGGTGGTCTCAGCGCCTAGAGCGAGGTGCGAAATTAGTAGCCGCCCACCCTCTTCGCAGTTCCCGCCCCCAGGGAATTATAATTTCCTGGGAAAGTGTCTGGTTCTCGGAGAATCCTTGGGGCGGGGTAAAGGGGCGCGCCCGGCGCAAAATGGTTAATACAAAGTCTGCACGCGCCGCGGGGCCCCTCGTATGAAAAGTGTACGCGCTGGTGGCTGGGCACCCCTTTGCTAATTTGAGGGTTAGTTACCGGCAGGAAGTCTGGCTGTGCGAGAGGAAAGGCGGTCAGGAGGGAAGCCTCAGGCTGGTGCTGGCTCCCGCCCCCAAGCCTCCTTGGGGGACGCACCTCGGACCCAGCGGGCGCAGGGTGCGGGGCACTGGGCCGGGGCGTTCGCGGCGGGCGGCGGGAGGCTGGAGCAGGCTCGGCCCAGCGGTTCACTCTCTCTACCTCCTCCCCGCAGGATTACCGAGAGGATGGGATGGATCTAGGCAGTGACGCCGGCAGCAGCAGCAGCAGCAGCCGCGCCAGTTCACAGTCCAACTCCACCAAAGTGACCCCTTGCTCCGAGTGCAAATCTTCATCGTCGCCGGGGGGCAGCCTGGACTTGGTGTCTGCCCTGGAGGACTATGAGGAGCCCTTCCCGGTCTACCAGAAGAAGGTGATTGATGAGTGGGCGCCGGAGGAGGACGGCGAGGAGGAGGAAGAGGAGGACGAGCGCGACCAGCGAGGGTACCGGGATGATCGCTGTCCGGCCCGGGAGCCGGGGGACGTAAGCGCCAGGACCCGCAGCGGCGGCGGCGGGGGCGGGGGCAGGAGCGCCACCACCGCCATGCCGCCCCCGGTGCCCAACGGCAACCTCCACCAGCACGACCCCCAGGACCTTAGGCACAATGGCAACGTGGTGGTGGCTGGCCGGCCGAGCAGTTCCCGGGGCCCCCGCCGGGCGATCCAAAAGCCCCAGCCGGCTGGGGGCCGGCGCAGTGGCCTCGGCCCGGCGGCTGGGGGGCTCTGCCTTCAGCCCCCAGACGGCGGGACGTGCGTCCCCGAAGAGCCCCCGGTGCCACCTATGGATTGGGAGGCGCTGGAGAAGCATCTGGCTGGGCTGCAGTTCCGGGAGCAGGAGGTACGGAACCAGGGCCAGGCGAGGACCAACTCCACCTCCGTAAGTTGGCCGGGGTGCGTGCCCACGCGCGCACACACGCGTACACACCCCGCGCACAGCCCGCACGCCCCCTCCCTGCGCTCCCGCCCGCCCGCGGCCCCATTCATTCTTCCTTGAGGGTGGGGGCCAGGCCGGAGAGCCTGCCGTCTGCTCCCCTGGGGATAAGGTTTCTCGGTCTGTGAGCTGTCTGGGTTTGCAGGATGGGCGGAGAGGGAGGAGGAGCAGCCAGAGGGCAGCGGAAAGTCGGGTTAGTGGAACCGGCGACTCATTTTAATGGAATTACTTATGGAGACCAGGTTGTGAGTCACTTGCCTGAAAATAAATCTGGGGAGATTCTGGCACCAAAAGTCAGTGCCTGCGAGGGTATTTCAAAACGTAATAGTTGTGGCTTTGTCAATGGTGGTGGCTCTCCTCTCGTTGCCACTAATGTCTCATCCGTATATAGGCTTGTCCCTATGCACGCGCACACATTCTCCTGCCCACACCACCGGTCTGGCAGCGGGGTTCGTTCCGTCTTGCGTTAAGCAGATGCTCCTGTATTTGTATAGGTTGATTTTCCTCCTCTAAGACTTTCTTCCTTTATGAAACCCGAATTATTGTTGACCTGGGGGAACGGGGTAAATGGATCTGTCAGGATAAGGGAGGGGTTCTTCCCTCGGTGGCCTGACTCACTCCCTCTGCTGTGAATCCCTCCTTGTTTTGATAACGGAGCCACTTACAGTTTCTTACCGGAGGCTACTGCCTCAATTCAGGAAAGCCAGACCGGGAGGGGTGCTGGAGTGGAAAAGAGGGAGGGAGGAGAGGAGGGCTGCATCTATAAGAAGAAGCTCTGGCAGGTTCACACTTGTCTCAACATCTTTTTTGCCCCTGAGAGACGAGCAGATAAATGACTTAAAAGAAAACCATCATGAATGTAGCTCCCCTGTTTAGCACTGTTTTGAGATAAAGCAACAGTTGTAATTTGAAATCATTAGTGATGATCCTAATTAGGGATGAAGGGCATAGTTGAAAGGAGCTGCTTTCTGTGTGTGGCAGCTGTGTGGCAGGTGGGAAAATGCTTGCCTTGCAGGTGTAATTTTTGCGACACTAGGACCCCGGGGCTCCTTAAAATTGGGTGCATGCACTTCTGACTTCAGGGGTGAGGATGGTAACTGTTTCACAGAGAAATTTCCGTGGTTCTATCAGAGAGAACCCTTGGCTGACAGCCTGCTGGTTAGTTTCCCTTGGGAAACTACTTATGAAATTAACATACTTATTTTAATCCCAGCTGTTTAGGAGTTTACCATAGCCACTAACAGAGGTGGAATCTTTCCATTACAGCCAATACTGTCTCTTGTACCTTGCAATAGAAAATATCCTTTTCCCACTTTGTGCTTGAGAAAAATACCTCATTAATACCCGGGCTTGAACAATGACTGGGAAATAAACAAGAGGTTAGTTTACTATTGCATGACATTTATACATTCCAGGAACATTTAATAATTGGGCATACGTGCAAAGTTAGGGTTTGATGGTGACAGTGAGCTCCATTATTCTAAAGTTGTGAAACAAATTGTTTTCGAGCTCCCATGTATGTGCTGTGTGCCAGGGATGGTTCTGAGTGCTGTGGTTACACATCAGTCCACATGGGGCTGAAATTCTGGTGAGGGAAGGTAGGGATACAGACTGCCTTCCCTCCAGGAACTTAAAATTTGATGGCTTACCTAGCACCACCTCATACCCCCACTCCCAACACATACACACCTCTTCTGGTTATTGTGAAGACTATGAATCTTTTCTTCTTGGGCAGTCTTTGAAACCAATGGTGTATCCTCACCTAGTGAACAGTTTGCATATTTGCATATTTGGGTTTCTTTCCTTCACTTCCATCTTTCCTGGAAATGCCTCTTCTGGTCATTTCCTCTACAAGTTACACAGAGAAATTTAGATTTCATTGTGTCAAAGCAAGGATGTGTACAGAAAAAAGGGAGGAGGTGGCATTGGAGGTTAATGCTGTATTTTTTCATGTTTTGGTTTGTGTTTGAACAAAATTACTAGTCAATGTTGGTTTAGAATAGTGTTTTACAAACAGTAAGTTACCCATGAAATCACCTTAGCATTTTAAGAAAATGAAATAAAATAGAATGTTTGATAGTGTATTGCAGGGAGTCATAGTAAAGTTGGTGATTTTTAAAACTTTTGTTTAGTTTTATATGTATGCTGGGTTGCAACATAACGTTTACTTCTCACTATGGGTCGCTGTTATAAAAGATTGAAAAGCACTGATTTAAATCCTGTTTAGTGCTGCCTGGAGTAAGGGAATTTATGACCATGAGGACAGACACCTGAGAACAACAAAGGAGCCGTGTGGAAGAGAAGGCCTGCCTTGAGGGAACTGTTCAAATCCAATGATATTTTACTCCTCTTTAAAGTGTCTTGTATGAATATATTTAAGTGGCATTAATACACACCACTAGGAGTGGGGTATACAATGAAAAGGGGATAGCTTCTCTTCACCAAGTAAGCCTATTCCTACTTCTGGGCTTTTGCCCTTCTGTTACCTCTGCTTGGAGGCAAGTGTCTGGTTCCTTCTCATCATTCCAGACTCAGCTCAAGTCTCACCAGTTCAGAGAAGCTGTCCCCCACCACCCTTCCTAAAGTAAAGGAACAACACTCCACCCCAACTCAAGCACTCCTGGTGTATTGTTTTCTTAGTGCTTGTCACTGTCTGACATTATCTTATTTAGTTCTCTATTTTTGGTTCCTCTGAAATGTAGGTGGGAGTGCAAGGTTCTTGTCTGTTTTTTAACTCTATAACCTATTGCCTGGGACATTCCTGGGATGGAATAGGTTCTCAAATATTGAATGAGTGAATGAATGAATGAATGAATGAATGAATGAATGAATGAATGAATGTTTATAACAGCAACACAGCCCACACCTAATCCAACTCCCATTTTACAGTTGAGAAAATTGAGGCCCAGAGAGGTTAAGTGATTTGCCTCAGGCCCAGTGAGAAACTCATGAACAGGGTTTTGTTCTTTCTTCTGACACCAGTCTAGTTTTTCCCCGCTCTTTTTAATGCTTAAAATAATTTGAAATAAAAGGAAAGGAAGCAGCTCCCATCTCCCTGAAACTTAAAGGGTTTCCTATTGACAAGTCCCTTATTGCACTTCCTTAGAATTAAGGACATAAGTAAACTGGGAAATCATCAAAACTCCCTTACTTATGAGTCTCCTTTCACAGACAGGTTTTTGTATTGTTTTGTTTTAATGACATACTGTTGGGTTCTGCAGAACAGAATAGTGACAGAATTCAGGTCTCCTCACTCCATATCCATTGCTCTTTCCTTCCTCTCAGTTGCGGCGATGCACACAGAAGGATGACTGAAGTCTCAAAAATGGGATGACAATCAGCTGTCCCTAATTCAGGAAAGATTGAGAGGCAAATTTAAAAACACACAATGTTTAGGTGGGATTTAAAACCTAGCACTGACCTTCACTTTCTGATGGGTTTAAACAACTAATCTCTGTCTCTTGGTATCTGTGGAGGGTGATGAGCTTGGATGCTGTCAGGAACTGTCTTTGGTGTCAGAGCCTGCAGGGGCCTGAGGAGTCCTGATGGAAACACTCTGGTGACTGGATCCTTGCTCCGTCTCAGAGCTGGGGGCTCAAGACAGACCTCCAGCACCTGGCCAAGCCCTCCACTGTGATGTCAGCACCTGGGGCAGCCATATCCCCAGTAGTTTGCATTGTGCCTGGCACAAATAAATGCCTGACACATGCAGAGAGGGTGAGGGGCTCTACCCAAAAACCGGAACTACTCCCAGAAGTGCCCCTTCCATGGGCAGCCCCTACTCATCTGGTGTCAGTGTGCTTCTCACAGTCCTGCCCTGGGCTTGTATTCCCTCTTGTGGGTGAACCCTCTTATTAAATTCAAGGGCCATAGACACAGTAAAGAAAGGGTCTGGGGTTGGTGCCTTTGATTTCAGATTAGGAGTCCTGCTTGCGGAAGTTCATGTTTCTCTTAAATTCTCATCTTCTTGCCTACTGTGACTCTGGTGTGCAGGATTGAACAGTTTTCTCTCTTATGACAGCAGGCCACAAATAGTCGGCTTTCTCTCTTCTGCTTCTCCAGGACCTTAGTGCATCACTGTAGCCCTCTTGCTCCTGTTCAAAAGACTCTGTGGACCTGTCGGCAAGTAGGGTGGGAGGGCCACTGCCTCAGTGTACTCTTCCTCCTAAATGGAATATAATTACACATCTTTTTGTCTGTGTTTTTCCCTGAGGCTTCCTCTCCTTCAGGGGACGTGTGTTCCTCCATGTCTAGCCTGTTTTCTGTCTCTGAAGACTCAGCCCATTTTGACTTTTTTCTTTAAAAATAGCTTTATTGGCCAGGCATGGTGGCTCAGGCCTGTAATCCCAGCACTTTGGGAGGCCGAGGCGGGAGGATCACCTGAGGTCAGGTGCTCAAGACTGGCCTGGCCAACATGGTGAAACCCCGTCTCTACTAAAAATGCAAAAATTAGCCGGGTGTGGTGGTGGGTACCTGTAGTCCCAGCTACTCAGGAGGCTGAGGCAGGAGAATCGCTTGAACCTGGGAGGCAGAGGTTGTAGTGAGCTGAGATCGCACCATTGCACTCCAGCCTAGGTGACAAGAGTGAAAATTTGTCTCAAAAATAAAATAAATAAATAAATAAATAAATAAATAAATAAATAAATAAAATAAAAATAGCTTTATTGCAGTATGATTGACATGCATCAGCTGTACATAGTTAAAATGTACAATTTGATGAGTTTTGACATATGTATGGCATATGTATGTGTTTTGACACACCTGTGAAACCATCATGAAAATCAAGATAACGAACATATTTAGCATCCCCAAAAGTATCCTTGCACTCCTTTATAATATCACCATCTTATCCCTAGGCAACCAACTGATCTGATTTCTATGTTATAGATTAGTTTATGTCTTCTAAAATTAACATACGAAAATGGAATCACACAATATGTGTGGAT